GTGGGTTAAGCACACATTAAAACTACAAGACAATTTGTCATTAGTTTATAACCTACATGATGATCTGATGACTAGCAGTTCCTTGCAACTCTATTATAAAGAACTGAGATAAGCTGGATCAGTTCACTTCTAACCAATCATCAGTCATTGAGGAAGGCCTATGTTCAGCAGTGGACATGTGGATGTGTTGATAAAAGTATATGCACAAAGTTATTTTGAAGGTAGACTTATTGTTAATTGTTGCCAAAGTTATTCTATAATATTAAGATCAATGTTCTACATTTGCTAGACCAAAATTTGCATGTCAATTGTACATAAAAACATGTGTCTGTATTATTGTTCATCTATAGTCGTATTTTTAATTAGACGAAGTCGACTGACGTTTGCTGTGTTGTCAGTTTTTGATGAAATAAAAATAGTGTTGCGAAAAAGTGAATGATTGAAAAAGCAACTAAATGAATGAAATTGTCTCGATCGTCTAGTGAATTAATTGAAGTAGTTGAAACTACAGATGAGTAAAATATAAAAAAATTAGGTAGTTATGGATAATAAAAACAACGCTAATAACATCATTTGATTTTAATCATCATCAGATAAAAAATCATCGCTATCACTTTCGGTGACATTAATAATAAAGTTGTCTGACACATTGTCAATCATGTGGTCAAGGCCATACATTTTGTCTTCTTCTTTAATAACGTGAGACACGCAACTACTCCATTTTTCTGCTGTGATGAGTTGAAGTCCTTCTTCAAACAGTTTTTTAACTTCTGGCATTTTAAAAGTTTTGTTATTTCTTGCCACATGTCCTTTGGCCTGCGCCCATACCAACTCAATAGGGTTAAGCTCACAGTGGTATGGGGGCAGACGTAAAACCGTAATTCCATGGTGTGCTGCCATCTCGTCCACAACAAACTTTTCAGAATGTTGGTGTTTGTGCTGTCGTACAATGTCTATAAGAGTAGCTTTGATCATTGTTGCTTCGAATGCGATATTTTTGCTTGTTAGCCACTCTTGTATTCTGGATTTAGTCCAAGACATTGTAGGCAGCGATTCCAGTTTCCTGGAGTGGTACGGGGCATTATCCATCACTACCACGGAATTTGGTTTGAGTTTTGGCAAGACCTCTCTGAACCACTTTTCGAAGGAATCGGCATTCATCTCTTGATGATAATCTTCTTTGTTTTTTGTGGCTTCAAATATTAATAGGCTTCTTCTACGAACCCTTCTTCCCCGCCTATATGTCCGATAATTAAGCGTTTGCCCTTTCCTGAAGGTTGTTTTAAGCCAGTGGTCAAGCCATCGAGGAAGGCCTGGCGGGAGGTTAGCACTGTTTGGTCAATCCATACCTTCTTCGGGGCATGACCTTAAAAATAGAGAAAAATATCAATTAATTATTGAAAGTAGAGGGACCTTCTAAACACATGCCTGTAAATGTATGTACACGTTTATCTAAGTGGTTTGTCATGTTTGTTTGTAATTATTCCTAATTTATATTATTGTCACACAATCAGAATTTACAGTCTTATAAGAAACGCATGTAATCTGTGTTAAATACAGCGTCGGTAACGAATTGTAAGAACTTTTATCTGTGGCCACAAAACCTACAGAAAGTAAAATTTAAAATGAAGAAAACAAAATTGTAATTACCTTCGTTGATCCAGGTCTCATCTTGGTAATAAATATACCTTCCTTCTCTTCTATACTGTTTTATTTCTCGAAGGTATCGCTGGCGCCATAGAATAATATCCTGTCTGTCAATAAGAATGCTTTTTCTTGTCTTTGAAACGTATTTGAAATTCAAATGTTTCATAACATTTCTTAGTGTACTCCATGAAAAAGTCGGTAAATCTGGGTCTTCATTGACAACTTTAAGGATCTGTAAAGTAATAAAAATGTTTTTGAGTAAGGAAATCTATGCAATCTAATACTTTGGTTTTACAAAGAACATTATGGTGGACACAGAATATAATGCAGTAGACGGAATAAAGTTTATGTTACCTTTGCAATGGTGGGTGGCTCATTTGCATAAAAAAACTGATGAACTTTTCGCCTTATGGCAGTAAAAGTAAAATCATCTAATTTGTCTTTGAAATTGTATTTCGGTCCACGTTTCTCGGGTGATTTAAATTGTTCATTTTCTTTGTATTCTTTTAATACACTGTAAACCGAGGTCACACCAATTCCCAAAATGTCAGCTGTTTTCGAAACACATTCCTGTTTTTCGGGGGTTTCAAAAGGTAATAGAGAAGCAGCTTTCTCCTCAAATACGTGTTTATACACGTTCTGTACCATGAGCTTTTCGGTAACGCTTAACGAAACCCGTGGTCTCTTCCTTCTCGGAGACAAGCTTTGACTTGACGTGCTTGGTTGAGGATCCATATTGTTTAAAGGAAACAATGAACCACAATAACCGCAAACACAACGAAACAAAAAACTTAACAAAACAACGTGAGCGCAGAAATAACAAAGTACGTGCTTTCAGACCAGAGGTTAGAAGCCGAATAACAATCAAAATGGCGACCGACGCGCGCGACGTCGATCGGTGTTGTCAGTACTCGCCGCGCCGCGCTTTACAATAAACTATCAAATATTGATACAATTTTATTAGAAATAGAAATAATATTCATTTATGTTTTGGAATGATTAAAATTATGAACTATTCACATTCATTGTTCATTCATTTGATTGAACGAGAACTGTAGCCATCACTATTACTTTAAATATGGCCACATTATTTTACAATTTGACATTAGCCATTGTCAGTTGACTTCGTCTAATTAAAAATACGACTATAGGTCAATTTTTAGAATTACAGAACACTGTAATATGATGCAACTTTGCAATACAATCCTCAAAATGTTATTATTTTCAGACAAAAGTCTAGAACATTATTTTCCTTGTATGTATTAATATACTTCATAAAACAAATAAATTAGACACATTCAGTTTATATCACATTTTATCAGTCTTTATCTTTTCTCAGTAAGTTTTAGGGTTCTTGATAAGATATAAAAAAGTACAATTTTTATCTTTCTGTTGAATAAAAGATGACCTTTTATACATAAAAAATAAACATGCCAATTTACCCTCAATTTAGTATTCCTGGCATGTATCTGATTGTCCAATGACTTCCTCTGCAGCTAATTTAAAAAGTTACATATTCAAATTAGGCTTTATGGTAAGAATACAGTTGAAATGTCATCCTAAATTGGAAAAAGGAAACATTAATCTATGGTAGGTTAATAAATTTTGAACAAAATATTTACATACTTTATGTAGAACTTTTTATTATATGATTTTTGCACTTTGTTAAGGCTCAAACCACACCAATGTTTTATTTTTGTTGTCTTGTAATAAACTTAAAAACATTTAACATAAACAGCAGTCTTTATGTTTCTTATAAGTGACTGTATCATATCTGAGGGTCAGAAACCTTTACCTTTGATTAGTCAAGCAGATAAAACCATGACTGGTTATTTGTCTTAATGAAACTAACGTTTTAAGTTTGGAATTTCGAACATAACATATTAATTCATTAGCAGCTCATAATCAGCAAAATTTGCTTTATGGTGGAACATGATAGTATTACTTCCTGCGATTCATTTCTACATCTGGTTGTTTATTCGTGACCCTAGCAATGACGGCATATGTTTCAAACATTGCTACGGCCGAGAACAATATACTGTAGGTTACTTGGCGTGTTATTTTTTATCACCTAGTTACTCATACTTCATACTGAAACTACGTAGCCTGAGAACACAATGGCACAATGGTAATAGTAAATAAAACGTGTATAATCGTTGTATAACCAGCTCTAATATCGAACGCGCTGGATACGGCACCAATCAACTTTGTACGAAGACGATTCAATTTAAAAATGACGTCAGACCGTTTACCATTTACGCTAGGAAAGCATGCATTTCAAATAAATATAGAAAACTTACCCGTCACCGACCACTACACATTTAATCGCCTGCATTTCTGCGTTCTACTCGACCGTTGTCACTAATAAAGCACAAATTATCAAGGGTGGCTTCAGATATCTCTGACTTGGTAAAACTGCACTTGGTTCCACGTCTAGTTTCAATCAATACACATCCGCATCACAATCAACACTTGTACAAGTGAACTGCACAGTTTTTCGATAAAAATATAAATTTCATATCTCTTCGTTAGCGATAAGAGTAATTTGTTCCCGAAACCTCCGTTTCGTTCACTTTACACTCAGACGTTTCGCTCGCCGATTACGTACGTTCGGCATTAAATATAATGTTGCCCACTAACACTTTAGTTTTACCATTTGTGACAAAAAGTGATTTGGAGAAAAACGTTGGTTTACTTTCAAAAGTGTACAAAATTGAACAAAATAAAGGATTTTCTATTCATTCAATATACTTTAATTTTTGTAAAACAAAATAAAGAGTATTTGTATGGACCACTTTACATTACATTACAATGAGGAGAGGAAATCACATTAATTTTAAACATAATTATTAAAAATGTTAATCCTTTAGTCATAGGTAAACAGTTCATCTTATTTGTTAGTGGTAACGCTTTATTAGTATATGTGTTTTTGATTATCTACGTTTGTACCGTTTCCATCAATATACTAATACCAAAGACTTCGTTTTTCCTTAAATCTGTCTTGTTTTAAATTGCTAGTAACATTCTTGAGTCATAGACACAAAGAAAATATTTTTTTTTCCATTGACAATCCAATAAGTTTAGTACGGATTCACATAATTATGTTTTATATAAATAAGTTTCTGCTGTACAGAAATTACAATCTGTTTTAGGTTGTTACTTTTATAATTATATTAATTATCACCATATTAATCATAGTGACCAATTACAGTTCTTTACGGTTCTAAATAGGTACAACTCTATGGTAGCACGTTTTTGCGCGCTTGATTTTCTATAATCTATGCTATTATGGCGACTTCGATAGATCGCGTTGCGCGGTATTGCGTGATACGATTGTTGATTTCAGTTAGAATATGGCAAAAGGTGATAAAGAGTTAGAAAAACCTATAGTGAACAATGAATTACCTAATCCGGAGTGCCGGACCACGGACCATGAAGATTCGGAATCGGCACAGGAGCAGCCTCTCGATATCGGAGAGCATTATTTGGTGCGGCGTTCGGATGAGTCATGGCACCCGGCTGAGATTATACAGACACGATACAATGCCACGGAGGGCTGCTACGAGTATTATGTGCACTATGTCGGCTACGATAGAAGGCTCGATGAATGGGTATCCCGACACAGGGTTATGTCAGATAGATTCGACATGTGCGAACAGTCGAATAACAACATAAATTGTGACCACCTTCTCACTGATAAATCCGGCCGGAAAATAACAAGGAACCAAAAACGTAAACATGATGAAATTAATCACGTCCAGAAGTCTTACGCAGAGATGGACCCGACGACGGCAGCGCTTGAGAAAGAGCACGAAGCTATCACTAAAGTAAAATACATCGATAGAATCCAATTCGGCAAATACGAGATAGATACATGGTACTTCAGTCCTTATCCTGACGAGTATGGCAAGCAGTCTAAGCTTTGGATATGCGAGTACTGTTTGAAATACATGAGAATGGAGAAAACTTACAGGTATCACCTGAGCGAGTGCACAGCGCGACAACCACAGGGTAGTGAGATATACAGGAAGGGAACAATAGCTATATTCGAGGCAGATGGCAAAGAACATAAAATCTACTGTCAAAATCTTTGTTTACTTGCTAAATTGTTCTTAGATCACAAAACATTATATTTTGATATAGAGCAATTCTTATTTTATATACTGTGTGAAGTTGACAAGCAAGGAGCACATCTTGTTGGATATTTCTCTAAAGAGAAGGACTCCCCGGAAGGGAACAATGTGGCGTGTATACTGACACTACCTCCCTATCAGAGACAAGGTTACGGTAAGCTACTTATAGCATTTAGTTACGAGTTGTCCAGACTTGAACATGTAGTGGGTAGTCCAGAAAAACCATTATCAGATTTGGGCAAATTGAGTTACAGATCTTATTGGTCTTATGTCTTATTAGAAGTATTAAGTGTGAGTAGAGGCACATTAAGCATCAAAGACTTGAGTTCCATGACGGGGATATCTCAAACAGACATAATTTCTACATTACAGTCAATGAACATGGTAAAGTATTGGAAAGGTCAGCATGTTATATGTGTTACACCAAAAATAGTTGCAGAACAGTTGGCTAGCTCACATTTCAAGAAGCCTCGGTTGACTGTAGACCCATCTGCATTAAGATGGACTCCTCCACACAAGCAGGGTAACTCGACAAAAGCAAAAAAGTAGTACAGGCTAACAGGCACGGCTTAGAGGAACTGAATGCTAAGTCCTGCCCATAGGACTTCCTCTAAGCGTTGGCCTGTTTTTAAAGAATTCATTAAATAACTGATACTGTTTAATGTTAATAGAATGTACATTTAACATCACTGAAGAATTTGTTGTAATTCAAAATGCCTTTAGAGCAATATAACAAGTCTTATAAGAAATTTAAACCTGTTTAGGTCCAATAATAATATTGATTGATGATCTTTATTTCATTAACAATAATGATGGCTTTTGATCGTTTCATTATCTTAATGACTAGATTTCAATTAACAACAGGTTTTTGAATTACAACATGTTGGCTATTATACTTCCCAGGCACCTAGATGCTCTTTGAAGCTTGCAATAACTTTGTCAGGATGTTAAAAATGCATCCTAAGCATTGTATAGAAAATGCTAGAGTATTATAAGTAAGTTACAAATCATTGCTTTAAGTAAAATCAAATGTTCTGTGTCATTTGTTGTTCGTGGAGATAGGTTTATAAACTTAATGTAACCAGTAAAGGAATAAAGCATTTGAAAGTTTAGAATAAAGAAAGAGAAAAAATAAGAAAAAAAGTAACACAAAAGAGACTATTGTTGTAAAATAAGGCCTTTGATTAGTAGCTTTGGTTGACAAAAAAAAATATTTTTCAAATGAAGATCATTGTAAATACCTCATTGAATGTGAGTAGTATGTATAATATACATCATCAAATGATCATGTTCATGACCAATTACATGCATTATGCATAATTTATGCTGCTGGTTCAAACCGCTTATTATGTCACTATTTGCATTCCTTGTGGTTTTAAATCTAAATATTTGTACTGTTTTTATTTGCCAGTTGTATTATTTTTTTAATTTGGCAATGGTTTATTATTAATTAACAGCCTGGTGACTCTAATGCTATGTTTCAAGGCATAAACTAGTATTATCATAATTTTAATTACAACTTGTATGCATTAAAACATCTAATAAGTATCTATATTTAACATGACTAGACTAATATTTACATAATGATAATTATGATAAGATATGGTACAAAGTAATGAATCTGATATAGAGTTGCCGGCAGTCTAATTTTGAAACTTCAGTGGTGATTGTAAGAAGTTTTAATTAATGACTATATTTAAGATAATTTTACCATGTTGACATTTTGATTACAGATGCTCGGAGACTACTCTAAGCACTGGCCTTTTCATGAAAAATAGTTAATTGATAAGGAATAAACTCTTTGCCACTTTCATCCAAAGTTAAACTAGATCTGTACTCAACAACTTATTCAGTTCCTTTTTTTATACTGGTAACAGTGATACTAATGATTAAGTTTTAAATTAAGTTCTACAGTGATGAATGGAACTGTCTGACAGTATGCACGTTTATTTTAGCTTTAAGTTTAAACATTTGTCGTTTATATGTTTACGACCATTTCTGTAACACTGTTACAAAAACTTAGAAATTAAGTAGAATTTTAGTTTTAATGACAACTGGCAATATTTCGCGGATGTTTTTTTCTGTTCAAATTGCCTCAAACCTACAAATCGAATGTCTGTATTGTTAATATTAATTAATCGTTGCCTTAAGTCCAATCAAAAGGCGGTATTGTTAGCGATTTAATAATATACAAAAATGTGTATAAATATGTAATTAAAATTCTATTAAATGTTGAATAATGAATGTTTGAAATACCAAAAAATGAATATTAGCAAACGTTATTACATCGTTAGTTTTACTTCGTATCAGTGTCGCTCGCTAATTTGAGGAAATCGGTTATGTAAAAGGCGGTGCCCTAAAATGGGTTCGTAGAAGTATGCGGTAGGCCTGTGTGTAGGCAGCCCGTTATTGTTAAAATATTCTTTTCGACCAGTTTGTTCTAAATGCTGTCGTCATTGTAGGAAGCGTTTTTTTTTATTGAACTTGATCAGAGTTAGTCACATCGGATATCTAAACTTATTGTATTAAAGATTACTGGTTTGTACTTTTTTTCTCTATAAGTTCCATTTAATTAGTTACTATTTCGGGACTTCAGGACGTAGCACAGTAGGTATGTACTACAATACCCGCTAATGATTTCTGCAGAGTTGAATGACTTGTGGACTTGTGTTGCTAGGTGGGCGGCATCAAACAGTAACTCTTACATCACCCTAGTGAGAATATGCTGAAATTATTGTGAAATACTTATTTCTGAAATAGTACTGAACAATATCCGATATATTTTTAGTAGAATAAGTTTTTCTTAAATTCTGTACCTAATGTTAATATGCAATGTAAGAATCTTTAGTTGATAACAATTTGCCACTTTGTGTTTGTCAAGTTGCATTAGAAATGAAAAGGTCTAGCCGTTGCCGTCTTTTAGATTCTGTGAATCATCAGTAATTTTCACTGTTTATTTGTGATAATTTTAACTGTAAGTAAAAGTGTCAAATAAAATGAATGCAAAAAGTATTTCTTTCTCTTTATTTTGTGTGAACCCTAATTACCTACTCCTATTCTACAAAAGTAGTAGTAAGGATTACCTAATTGTCCTATTACCCTTTGTCGTTTTATTTCGCTTTATTATTATGTTAACGATACACTAAATATAAATACATAAATAAGACCCGGGCAAACGAGTTTTCTCAACAGTTTTTTTTTTGTACAAATTTGTACCTAGAACTGAAGACGGTGGCCAAATGCCATCCTACTAAGTATAAAAAAGAAAAAAACCTGTTAACCTTTTGACCGTTAGGTAGGTACGTAAAAACCCTGCCCTTGGCGCTAAACTATAAAATACCTACATAGGTATTACCCATGTGAAGTCGAAGTGCGCACTCATAAGATTCTTAGTTGTTTGTTGTACCTACCCTTATTAGTTCTCTGTCTTATCGCTAGCACGATTGGCGCATTGGTTTGGCGAAAAATATTAACCACCTTTGTTTAACACCATATAGGTATGTTCGCCCTCTGCTCCTCCCTCTGCTACTCCTTCGACGATTAAAACGATGTCAATTATTATATAGGTATTTGAAATAGAGTAGGAGATTAAACTAAGTTTTTTTTATGGCATAAGCCGGTAAACGGCAGACGGATCACCTGATGGTAAGCAATCGGCGTCGCCCATGGACACCTGGAACACCAGAGCGTTACAAGTGCGTTACGGACCTTTGGGGATTAGGAGTTTGAGGATCGTTGGGGATTCAGGGATTGGGGAAGGGGACGGTTATTGGGCCTCCGGTAACCTCACTCACACGACGAAACACAACAAGCGTTGCTTCACGTCGGTTCTCTGTGAGGCCGTGGTATCACCCCGGTCGAGCCGGCCCATTCGTGCCGAAGCATGTCTCTGATAAAGTGGAATATTGCCGACATTTAAATTCTCCTTTCGTTACAAAGTCACATTCGTCCTACTTAATCATAATATTAGGTTATCAATGCAAACTTCGCATATTTTGGGTTAATGACTCTTATCATGTCTCATTAAAATGTTACTAAAATACTATTAAATGTATAGGTCAGTAATTTCTATGAAATATTGGTACTGGTAACATATAACATATGATACTTATATCATATGAGCAGACGTATGATATCAATACGTTGGACCTCAAACGGTGTAAACACCGAAACACGCTCAAACGGTAAAAACTCAACTTTAACGTAAAGAAAAAAAAAAGATTTGTGGATTGTTGATAAAAAAACCTTTCGTAGACTAGTTTGTTTTTTACAGAACACTATTTATATTATAAGAAAATTAATTTACCAGCTATAGCTGGTAAGCTAGTTTTTTAATTTACTACTTACTTTACATATATGTGCGTAGTAACGCCCGCGAAAATTGAATGTTTAGGCCTAGGGCGTTCACTACCTCACTTTGTTTATGGCCATCAACCCTTTGCTTGATGCAAAAGGTTGATGGCATAGCATAGATATAATAAAAGAAAATCAACAGTGACTACTAATACAATAACTAATCAGTATAGGCACTATACTGTATGATAACAAGAAAATAAAGGTGTTTAGTTAGGTATTGCATATAATTAAGCCTTTAAAATTAGTTTTCGCGAAAATAGTTATTCACCTTTTTGGTCCCTAGATATATGTAGTTTCAAATTCATTTTATTAGGCAAAATGTAGGTATTTTTTTTCAAAATTTGTCTACTTTTTTATTTTTTGTTTGTTTATTGATTAGTGTTAAATTTTTATCGTATTTCAATCTTTTTCACAATATATCATATAAAATTCGAGTAATTATGGAATATGAGTAGGTACCGTCGTGGCAGCAACGCGGCTCTCAACATCAATGATATTTACAGTGCTAACACTACAAACCAACGCACCACCTGCTATTGGTTTGCTGGCTTCCGTTCTGGAAATTTCGACCTGAAAAATGAACCTCGTGGTATCGGAAGACTTTTGTTTATGGAATAGGAGGCAAACAAGCAGACGGATCACCTGACTTTGGTCGACAATGACGAATTAAAGGCGATTGTGGAAGTTGATGATACACAATCTATGGCTGAATTAGCAGCGGCTTTCGACGTTAGCGTCGAAACAATATTGGTCCATTTACGTCAATTTGGTAAGGTAAAAAAGCTTGACAATTGGGTTCCACACGAACTCAATGGTCGGCAGCGCGAAGTATGTGACGAGACGTGCCTTGCACTGCTCGACAGATACACGAATAGGAATTTTGAACCGCATTGTTACCTGCGATGAATAATGATTATGTTTGATAACCACAAGCGCTCAGCAAGTTGATCTTGATGAACCTCAGGATCCAACCTCGGGATTAATTTTCGTGTCGTTTGGTGGTTTAGCGCCATTATAACGTAGGTATAAGCTAAGCTTTTTACCAAACGGGGTGAGCATTATACTGGAGCACGACAACGCGCGAATTCATTCTCTATAGGCCTTTTATTTTAAGGGGGGAAAATCATCGAATGACTGCTCCCGCCTGGGTGAGGCGGAAGGGAGTGTCAGACTCTTACTGACTAAAAACCACCCCGTTCCTTCTCCTGCACGTCGAGCCGGAGCCCCAGTTACCCGTTAGGTTCTTCGCGACTCCATAGCAGGCTTGAAGTTGCAAGAACTGAGGTTGGAAGCTGTACGCCATTCGTCCTACTCATCAGACGTCGTTGCGTCTAGGTATAGACTACTACTTTTTCCAGTATATGGATAAATTCTGAGAGGAAGTACAAAATGCCTTTGAAGAATTTGTTGCCTCCCGTTAATCGGATTTCTTTATTTAAGAAGAAAATCAATGAACTGCCACTGCGTTTGGCAAAGATGCATTGATTGGTTAAAATTTTTTAATTTTTTCATCCATACGGTAATTTCATAGGTAATCTATTATTTTGGAGGGAGATAGGTAGTATGGGATGGATAAAAAAAAAACAAAATCGACGAAATGTCTATTAATCCAATTAATTTTTATTTACCATTTGCACATCATTATCGAACATCAAACATATTAGTAACATACGTACAAAGAGAGTGGTACATTTATGTATATAGCTATCGAATTGAACTCATCTTGGTTTGTGCGTTTGGAATCATTTACGAATTAAATATTCAGGATTATTGATTATCTATATTTAACTGGCGGCACGGTAGCGACGCCAGCCAAGTCGAGCAAGAAAATGCCTCTTTATTGCTCAAGTTTATCTCGCTTTTTGTAATACAGTTCGGGCTATGTATTTATACCAAATATTATTTGAAATGCACGCCGTATTACTAGTAAAAGTATGATTGTTATCCGTCTTTCACACCACAAGGGTGAAGCCGAGGATAACAATTAGTTTCCTGAATTTACTTTAGCGATTTAGGTGCCTGTTTATATATAAAATAACTATCTTTCAGCGATACGAATAAATACGACGTATACCTACATTCAAAACTAGAGACGTCGTTATCAACCCATCTCTGATAAGAAAAATCAGGTCACTGAATTTCACGATAAAATATTTCAATTATGCGTTTTGTTATCGTGAAATTATCGCAATTATTTACGAGTGATGGTAGTTTCGATAAGATATATATATTGGCTTCAATTTGAAAATGCATGAACAATATCTATGATATTGTATGGCATTGGCGCCGTTTACGTATAGGGATAAGTTGAGAACACAGATATACTCTGTGGTTGAGAATTTATGAGCTACCTATGTTATGTCAATACTCCTTTTTTAAAGATTCATTCTTTACTCTCTTAGTTAAAGTTGTTTTTAGAATCAGCTCACTGTTTTTGAATCTGTCCAATTACAGTAAAGCTGTCAAGATCAAAAAGCATTTTTTAATTTCGTTGCTACTTGTTTTAACTTCTCACAAAACGGTTTTCATTGTTTTTTAATGGACTATACAGTGTAGTTCAATGAGATATTTATACACAAAATGTACACAGAACGGAAACACGAATAAATACACAGAATTGTCTTAATTTTGAGAGGAGATGCAGATTTTTTCACAGTAGGTACATAATTGGGTAGTTAAATTGAGGGCACCTACTTTTAAAATTACTGGAAAGCTAGTACCATCTTTTATTTTAACAGTAACTTCGTTTAGTTACTATAAATAAGAGTTCTATTAAAAAAAATTAGTAAAGTATTTTTTTATAGTCGAGATCAAAAAAATACGAAACAATTGTTTATCCGCATTTCATCTCTCAGGTATTATGGCTTTGGTATGCAATTCGAGTACAAATAAGTACATAGAATAAATCGAAATAAAAAAATAAAATCGACAAGAAACCTCTTTACATACGCTCTTAACATTATTTTACCGAACACTGAACGACTTTAGCATTAAAATACTCAACACTTAATACGATATTTTTTTTAATGTTTAGTAGATTTTTTATTATCTTCTGAACATACTAACCAACATACAAGATATCTACGGCTAAATTTATCTACGTATAGTGTACAGAATGTTTACATTTCAGCATTTTTGTAAACGTTAATAACATTTTTTTATTTTATATAAAGTATTATTAATATTTTTTTTATCAATCATGTGCTTGAAGGGCATTTGCTTTTAGAGTTTTCTAAAATATTTCCATTAGAAAAATTGTTTGGGATATTTGGCTGTCATATTTATAATAGGGGTGCCAAAACATCTTGTATTTTTTTCTTGTAAAACATTATTAGTCACAGTTTAAATTATATTTCCTTTTGGTTCATTCCGTAGCCACGTCGACATGATAAAGCTTCAAATACTATATATTTCTAAATTACTACATACCTTGACTGAAATGTCTTTTGATACATACTACGATGCCCTTAACACATAAGACTGATATGAATATTACACATTTCAAATATACTCACCACTCATTAAAGCTTGCAAGCGTAAAAATGTAATGTAAGTGTTGCCAACATTAACCGTGATTAAATACTTTTTGAGTGACGAATACATTTGAATACAGATTTATTGCTAAGATTTTATTTATAAACAATAGTGCAAGCTATGGAAGTGATAAAGACACCTACAGGCTTGCTGACATATGAAGTCAACGTCGATAAATATCACGCTAATATCAATTTATATATATTCGAATATATATATATAGTTTAGAACCATTATTGCACACATTTAACACCCTAATTCATTAGAAATACGAATTCTAACATCGCATTACGACGCAATATTAAATGAAATACATTTTGATGAGATATATCGGTCAATTCATATATAATATTTAATATATTATATAATAGAACACCTTTTGCACACATAAGTACTTTCCTACACATAGTGAGTACAACAACCACACTTACAGGTAATATTCCATTATTAAACATCAAACTATCAGCAAGCCGACTCCTCAAAGTCCTACAGGACACATTTCAATTATTCACCCCGGGGTCAACGGTTTTGTACTCAATTTTAGACCTTAAAGCACTCTAATAGAGCCCAAATTACATCGACAGCTTAGTAATTATAGTAAGTTTACTAAAAATATGCAAGAGTAATAATAAAAATGTGCCCAGAAATTATATATTTAATAGTCTAATAGTAGTAAGATAGCATTTACTAGAAATATATTCTTTTTATATTAAAAAAATACTATGATCTTGGGTAAAGCGCTTAGTTATACATAGTATATGATATAGTCTATGTATTAATACTGAATGTATATTGGATCATTTAAATAACATTAGATAACTTTCTTTGATATAACTGAAACTAAAATAAGGTATGTAATTTGATAGTTTGAATGATTTTAGTGCTTATTTCTTGTAACATTTTCATCACAGCCTGAAGATCAGTATTTCACTTTCTCAGAATATTTTCAATGAACCGTTATATTTAAGAACAAATATATGGAAAATAATTTTATTATAAAAACCTTCTGATACAACAGCTTCTTTTAAGCACTAACACCATCCAAAGTTGTATATTTACCATATTTACCCAATCCAAAAATCTATATTTTTATCTAATAACATAACACTTCATAATTCATTGTTATATAATGGTCACCCAATAATATTTTCTTTTACATAGTGAGATTTTTAACAGATATAGTGCACTATTTGTACGTCAAACAGGGATAGTTAGATACTAAAACTGTATATAGGTCTAGTTATTTAATACATATATAATTCTCGTTTTAGTTTAAGTAGTGCTTATGATAGCATTCTTCACAATTTTGAGATTCATAAGAGTAATATATTTTGTTTGAATATATTTTATATCTATTGTAATAACCACAACGAGTTCAGGATTGCTCTTAAATATAATATATAACTTGTATTTCCTATACGACATAGTTAGAATGAGGTAATGAATATGGTTCTTTAGGAAAAATAACATTTTTTACTATAAAAATAAACTTTCAAAAATTTCAAAGACATGGCACAATGAAAGTGAAAAGAAATTGAGATTTTAAATAAAATATCACTTAGTTGCGGCCTCAAACGACTAGATGGCGGCACCATCAAGTACACGATAGAAAAAAATAAAAGTATTTTTTTAAATAACTATTTGGAACAGTGTCTTTTTATCGCAGTTACAAGACTAGGAAACTCTATACTATATTGAAAATTTAATTAAAATTATTACATTCTAATTATTATGACGTCGCTTGAGACCTTGGAATATTTTTATTATATTTATAATCTGTTTAGAGTACATACATTGATATTTACAATATAATACGATGTTATAACATTATACACGTGAATATTGTCGAGATATACCTACAAGCAGGTACTGAGAAGCAAAACACTTTCATATAATTGAATAAATATTATTATATATGTATATAATAAGTATTATCTGATTATAATATACATCAACTTTGGTATTATTATTTAGTAAATGTAATAATGACTGATTACAACTATGTACGCTTAACAAATAAATAGAAAAATAAGCTTCATTAAAATAAATGGACATGATTGCTATCACTGAAACATTTTTAATAATTACATTCATTGGTTTATAAGCCCTACTTTATTAGGAATGAGAAATTTAAAAAGGAACATGAAGTATTGAAAACTAACCACCACAATTTTATTTATTGTTTTATGTTTTCTGGATTGTTATCGTTTTGTCACCTATTTGATATTTGAACTAGTTACTACTAGTAATAGGTATTTCAGTTGCCATTAAAACGTTTTATATTATTGACCAAAATAATGCTTCCGTCCTTTTTAATATATTAAAATTCGATCCACTAATAAAATAGAGCTTAATTAAAGCAAAACTGTTTAAATCTTTGGTTATTTATATTTCACTAAAGTTGGTATCGATTTAGACAATCGAGTGATGAAAATCGACTAAATACAACGAATAAATCGTTTTTCTTTAGTAAGTTTGTTTTATAGGTAATAATGAAGGTGTTGCAGTAATAATTAGGTATTATTACTTACGACCAGATTTGTTGTGTTTGCAAATAAACTTGATAATGTTCTATTCATTCCCGTGCCGTTACAGCTTAGTAAGTTGGGGCCGTGTAGTCGATGTTTCCTGAAAAGTAGAGAGATAATTTTATAGCACTATTTTGCTTTGGTTTTCTAATGGATGAATTAAGAATTGAGTAGATCTAGATAGTGTCTTGACAAAACCACTAATCAATGTTTTATGTGTTTGAATTTCACGAATTTCAGTATAGAACTTCAATTAAATTTATAAAAGAAATAAATAAACATAACATAACATCACGCCTTTTATCCTCGAAGGGGTAGGCAGAGGTACACATTATACCACTGTACAATGTAACACCCACTTTTCACTATTTATGTTATGAGTCCCATGTAATAGGGGGTGAGCCTATTGCCATATACCGGGCACAGTTCCAGACTCCGTGCTACTAATGAGAATTTAAAAAAAAAACCAGTAATAATATAAAGGAAATAATTATTTTCAAAATATTTCTGAATATCCAAGACCCTATAGATATTCGACGAATGACTTAAGACCAATTAGAAATTTGATCAAGAATAAGAATGGCTTATTGGACATTGTATAGTGTCCTACTACTCCATTTACTTACCCGTAAGGGTATGTTAGGTAATAACAATAAGTATCTACTCATAGGCAGGTATCTAAACAATGGCTTACAATCAAGGTTAGTCCGGTATTAATTTGAAGCAGGTTCAACTAATTAAGGATTAAGGGAATTAGGGCAATGCCCTCGATAGGTACGATCCTTGTGTTAGGCACCGGGTAAGTGCTTTTATACTGTGATACTTTTTTGTTTGAATTTTAGTTTTCTATCGCTGGCATACTGAAAGGCGCGCTTAAGTATAGTTCTGTCTCTATCAATTCTTTGTAAAATGAAAGAGATCGCACAATATTTAAGTACCTACAACTTAAATTTGAGAAGCCTTTGAGTATTCGGACGTATGTGATTTAAAATTAGATCTCTGACAGAAATTTACTCTTCGCCAGAGCCAATCTGCCATTTGTTAGGTACTTATCGGTAAGCATAGCTTTTGTTATATAGGTAATATGCATGTAATCATTTTATGTGTCCCATGGGTTGTTAGCGTTGGTACCTAAGTATCTATCATCATCTTTCGTATCAATTCCTAGGTTGTACATCTTTTTCTTGCACTTTGCGAATATTTTTGCAGGATCGACTCACCAGAGGCATGCGTCTGCGAGAATGGCGGGTCGCTGTAGGCGGGCTGTGGGTCGGGGGCGGAGGGGTATGCGGGGAAGGCGCCAGGGCTGCCCACAGCGCCCTCTACTTCATACGCCGGCGCGAACGCTGCGTCAGCACCTACACGGAACCGCTGGAACGCGAAGAACGCACAGGCCACCTGCGGAAGATAATGTATTCATTCGTTAATAAGAAATATAGAGGATGTATTAGATATTAGAGCCTAGCTGCTATATTACTTGATTTAAATAGGCCAGTTCGACGGGAGAAGTACCTACAGCCCTCTCAAAGAATATCAGAAAAGTATTATAGTGAGGTAATAATACTGCGTTTGATAAATTACTAAGTCCTGTTATAAAAAAGTTCAATGCATCTCAGGTAGTTGTATCAATAACTGTCTTGGATCGGTCAAGAAAAATAATTAGACGATATCACCTGTCACAGTGGTCATGGATTATTGGAGAAGATTACAAACCTCGTCTCAGCACCAACCAAGAACAGCTTTAAAGTTTATAATAACGAGTATTGTTGTTACTCACCCAAGCGAAGATGGAGAAGAAACAGAAGGCGATGGCTCCCTGCATGTTGTTGGCGGTGCCCATTGGAGGGTTGTCGGTCTTGCCCCACGCGTTAGACAAGTAGCAGAATCCAACGAAGTATAGGAACGCCCAGAATGCTGGAAATTAAAAATAAGTAAGGAGGTTAAGTGTGGTTTATGTATGATCATGTTTTTCCCGCGAGAGAGCCTCTTCTCACTACCGTTCGAGTCTAATGTGAAGAGGTTCTTAGTTATCTTAGTCTATCTCTGTTCTTCTCCCACAACAACCCGTGTCAATCCACTTACAATACAATCTATTTTTTTTAAGGGGGGAAAATCATCATATGTCAGACTCTTACTGACTAAAAACCACCCCGTTCCTACTCCTGCACTTCGAGCCAGAGCCCGAGTTAGGTTCCCCGCGGCTCTGTATCGGCATCAGCCCTATTGGGCCCCATTCGTGGTGGTCTGATGGAGTTGCCGTTTTCTTATGTTATCGGTAGATAAAGTGAAGGAAAAATATTATGAATTGATTGAATAAAGTCCATGGTTTTGTTGATCAGCCTACCTACTTAGGGTAAAGGCCAGAAAAAAATTCGTCCATTTCTAAAAAACACCAGACATTTTCCTGAAGAAAATCATACCTGCCTCGAGTCACACATTAAAGAAGCTTTCCCTGTAACAAGATCGCATTCGACCTCGTAAACGTGAATCCGTTTTCACACGATAAGTAACAAATTAGGGTGAATTTTACGATCTATAAAATTTTACATCGAAAGAGAGGGATTGTGGAGCCGATCGGAACGCGTTAGAACGTCATTGTTGTGCCGTAATAAAGGAACGAATGACCTGACAGTAATGGAAGTAGTAAAAAATATGGACACCGATCAATTTTGTTTTATGGGAAGTAATTAATATTCTGAGTACTATGCGGCGACTAGGAATTAACTGCTTTTGTCTGTTGTTTACTAAAAGGTCAGATTTCAATTAGTTTCACATTATTGAAGTAACTTAAAACTTTAAGTTATACTTATTATCCTTGTTACACATCGATTTTTGCCGCGGAGAACCAACGGGTTACTGGGGCTCCGGCTCGAAGGGCAGGAGTAGGAACGAGGTGGTTTTTAGTCAGTAAGAGTCTGACACTCCCTCCCGCCTCACCCAGGCGGGAGAAATCATTCGATGATTTCCCCCCTCAAAAAAAACATCAATTTTTACGTTTTTTTTATGGACTAAGAGGCAAACGAGCAGACGGATCACCTGATGGTAAGCAATCAGCGCCGCCCATGGTCCGCAAATAGGTCTTATTTCCTCGTCTATGTCTACAAATATTTTTCTTTCTCCTCTGTAGTGAATTCGTTAGAAAAACAACTCTATATTTAAAGGTTCAAATCCCATCTACTGGGTTCATCTATGAAATCAGGAGCAGTCTTAATTATCTCAATTCCATTATAGAATAACAATCTATCGGCTAACTGTTATAAGTACTTAAAGCAACAGACTCAACAGTAATAATTTGTAATGGTTCTTTAAACATTTTGTTATTTAACACCTGTTCTTCCCATACGTGAATCGTTAAGGCTGTGTATGGAAAGTAATTGTTCTCATTACAATCTCGGTTGGTGTGGTTTGCTCATAGCTGAAGCAATTAAAATAAACTTCGTTTATTACCGTCGTTTGTTAATTTCTGTTTTACATATTCACATTTTGATATGAGACTTTTCTCCGCCTCCGAGGCTGGTGAAAATCGCGTAGTGAGTCCGTAGTGTTACCAACTGATAATTCTCTTTCTCCCTCTTTTTTTTTTTAAAACGTTGCCCCACACTAGGATTTTCTCCTGTATCGTGGGTGCGTTTACAAACATACAAGTTCACATACACATCACACCCAGACCCGAAACAACAATTTGTGAATCACACAAAGTGTTGTTCCGTGCGGGAATCGAACCCGCGACACGTTGCACGGCAGCCGGTTGCCCAGCCACCGCACTAACCGTGCAGTTATGATGATGTACCTTTTTTGTTAAGCAGGGAAAATCATCCAATGACTTCTACCGCCTTGGGTTGGCGAGAGGGAGTGTCAGACTCTTACTGACTAAAAACCACCCCGTTCCTACTCCTGCTTTTCGAGCCGGAGCCCCAGCAATCCGTTAGGCCTACCGCGGCTCCGGATCGGGCATCAGCTCTTCTGGTCCCCATCTATGGCGGTTGATGGCTCTTTGAGGCGCGCGCGGAACGCGACTCGCTAACGCACGGGATAATGATGTACCTAAGTATCTATTAATTACATATACAACTTCATTCAGCAATATCCAGGTAATTTCCTTACTACATACGTAATCGTATGCCCTATTATATTACAGTTATTTGACCTTCGTGACTTGATAATGCACACGTATATAATTGGTAGGCCATACTACCTATAGGTAGGTAGATAGATATATATCTGGTAACTGATGAGGCCAATTAATTCGACCTCAAAATCAATTTATCTTCACCACGGGTTTATTGACACACTTTACATTGAAGGAGAATGTTTTTGAGGTATTGTGAGAATTGTTCATATGTAGTGCGACTGGTTAAAAATGCAGCTAGACTGCACGGTTGGTGCGGTGGCTGGGCAATCGGCTGCCGTGCAACGTGTCGCGGGTTCGATTCCTGCACGGAACAACACTGTGATCCACAAATTGTAGTTTCGGGTCTGGGTGTCATTGTGTACGTGAACTTGTATGTTTGTAAACGCACCTACGTCACAGGAGAAAAACCTAATGACAACGTTGCTTACTAGGATATAGAATTATTTTTAACCGACTTCAAAACAAAGAGGTTCTCAGATTGATCTGTATGTACCTATGTATGTTGTGCGCGATTATCTCACAATTGGTTGAACCGATTGTAATGTGGTTTTCAGAAATTAAGCGACTTAAAAAAAGAGGGCGTTATAGTCAGTAGGTATACGGTCGAATTGCAAACCTCCTCCTTTTTTGAAGTCGGTTAAAAATAATTATAATTATTATAATATGCAGGTTTAAAGTACAGTCAAAGTCTATGTAAGTGTAGCGTTTTACTTGGTAATGTACGGTTTATTGTTTAAGATAACTATCTGATACTTTTAACTCTTAAAATATAGTTAAGCGATGTTTACATAGAACATCTACAATCTACATGCTTAAATTAAATGAAAGCACAAGAAATCCCTCATAATAAATACCTATTTAATCTACCTAAATAAAATGACTACTAAGTGAAAATTCCCTAAGTTCCCACAAGAACAAGAAGCACGTGGATTTCCGACGATGAAATTGCGGTCGAATTCTGCGAATTCTATAAGTTCTTTAAAGAAATGCTAACTTTTTATCATAAGTCAGAACTTTTCATTTTGACACGAGATTATTGTCCGGAGACAAGGTTCTAAAACATCCGATTTTACTTCTTTTACATAACATAACATCACGCCTTTTATCCGCGAAGGAGTAGGCAGAGGTGTACATTACGCCATGTAATGCCACTGTACAATGTAACACCTAGTTTTCACTATTTATGTTATGAGTCCCATGTAATAGGGGGTGAGCCTATTGCCATATACCGGGACACAATTCCAGACTCTGTGCTACAACTGAGATTTTTTTTATTAAAAACCAAAGTTATATTTTGCCCGACACGGGAATCGAACTCGAGACTTCTTACCCGGCAGTTGCACTTGCGATCACACGGCCAACGAGGTAGCAACTTCTTTTATCTATTCGTAATTTAAATATCAGCATTATAGTGGTGAACGCAATCGATATTTAATTATGAAATACGGTAACTATTAAAAAAAATAGCCTCAATCGATCAGCTTAGGCACATAAAGAGATTAACCCGTTGAAAATCATCCCCTAAATTTGTTCATACAAAAGTAGTCTCTAAACGTTGGTAATAAGGACCGCTTGGGGATATATGGGTTAATGAAGCTAGATAAATCGAATGAGGTGTGCTAGAAGCTAGAATTGTATCATTTGTCGTCCTATTGTTTCTTTCTACCTTTAATTGACAGAAGACAGGGTTGAAGCCCCGTATTCGTGGTAAACATTTGTTTAGCAACAAAGTTGAATCAACGTGTTGCGGAATTGCTGTCAACATATTGCTAGCAATACTGCGTGTTGCAGCGACGAGCATAAACATCAGTTTAGCGACAATACCACTACCTCCTCGGGGAACATTTTAACGCAGAATGGCATGTAGACAACCTGTATTGATTTAAACATAGTTGCTAGCATCATTCTCACAACGTTGATCAATTGTCCTTAAATAAATGTTTGCCATGAATGTATAGTATATTTATTATTTTCATTCAGATTCTGTAGCTGAATGACCTACATTTTGGAACTTATGCAATTTTTAAACAGCTGCAATTATGTGCAAGTTTTTAGGCCAAATGGTGTTCAAGGGTTCTCTTTACTACACAACTTGGCCTTGTTAGAGCATTTTTTATTTCTTTAATGCCAGTTATAAAGTCTTCGCTTTGTTATTTAGTATTACTGTAGTGTAGTTTAGTTGCTTCCGCCTTCCTATGTAGGGCGTAACGAGGGAAAAATAAAATGGTTAAATGTCACGAGCTTTGAGGTCAAAAGAATCACCAGGCTTTAGCGAATCTTAAGCTTTGGAGAACCACAGTGACATTAACTTTAAGGAAGTCTAACATATACAATTTTGGGTCTATTATGACTCGGTAGTCGGTACATTAAGACAGAGATCAGATAATAAATAGATAAGTGTCGGAGAGCCATGTTTCTGGAGTGATACCACGTCCTCACAGAAGACCGACGTGAAACAACGTTGTGTTGTGTTTCGTCGTGTGAGTGAGGTTACCGGAGCGCACCTACAGGTGCGCAAAGTGGAATACTTTAGGTGCGCTTCGTCTGGGTGCGCTTCATTTAGGTGCGCAAAGTGGAATACCCCAACCATTTTGATCATTAGTAATTGATTAATGTCTTATTTAAGATTGCAAAATACCTCTCTACGTCATTAAGTGCGCTCTTCGGATAATTGTGTTTAAAATGAGGTCTCAAGTCCCGTCTCATCAATATTACGTAATGAATCTCTCGCGAGTTAGATCAGAGTAATACAGTCAATATTGACTTGCTTGTTATCACGCTGTTTGGTAGATCCTAATTCGTCATCTTTTAACAAGTGTAACGTACCTACGTACGCAGACATAACAAACTTGAGTGTGAAACTAAATTGAATTTTTAATTGTTTAAAATTTTTCATTTCATCATTTTCGTGATCTTTATTATGAATGATTTTAGCTTGTTATTGGCTAAAATTTTTGTAATTATTGCTTAGTTTAAATAAAAAAGTTTACACATCATCCATAACCTGTCAAAAGACGCTATATTTGCGTGTGACTTCTAAAGTATCACCCAAAAAAGAATATAGGATAAACTCACCAGAGAACCCCATATCAGCCAGTACGTAATGCTTCCTGGTCTTCACCGAAGACATCTGCTCAAACAGGTACTCGCCAGCAATGAAGCCAACGGAAGCAATGAATGCAATCACGGAGATTCCAACTCCATAGTTGCAGGCATTCGTGTCATCGTTGTATACGCAGTGCTCCTTGCCGTCTTCTCCTGTGCGCCACCCCTTGGCTGATATGCAGCCCATCACTATCACGCTGAAGAGCTGGGGAAATTGATTATAGAAGATATTATAGAAATCAGTTACTTAGCTGTTAATTTTATCTAGGAACTACTAATGACCTAATTTTGTTCTTGTGTTTCTCTTAGATATGTAATCTCTTGCCTTGACAGATTTGTATCATCATCCTCATCAACAGCCTATAAGTTCCCACTGCTGAGCAAAGCCTCTTCTCACACGGAGAAGGTTTGAGCATTAATCACCACGCTTGCTCAATGCGGGTTGGCAATTTCAAACCTACAATTAGAAATTATAAGCCCAGCTTTCCTCACGATGTTTTCCTTCACCGTTTGTCAGTGGTGTCTAGATAATCTAAGAAAGTACATATAACTCGGAAAAAGTCACATTGGTACTTCCCGATTTTGCGTACAGATATTAGCGACGAAATTGTATTCTATCGACTTCATGGCTATCAAATCTAACCATTTACCTATCTAATGATCTTTTCGCACAATACAAGCCTTGTATAATAGCAGTTCGATTAGTAATCAGATTCTTAGATAACTGAATGCATCGCGTCTAACTTCTTGTCTATCTAGATAGAAATTGCTATTGAATATAGAATATCATCAACCATAGACAGATTAATTACGTCAAGTGCAGCTTAGTGAAAAAAAAAACCCTGCCGATAACAAAAATGTTATATTTTCTCCTAAAGCATTTAACAAAGGCTTTTCAAGTTTTCACCAACTTTAACGTAAAGAACATAATATTTAGACACAATTTTATTGATTGTTTGTCCTTGACCTTATTTACAATGATGGACTACTATGATAACAGTAGTGTATTGTTCCTACATTAGACACGTCATTCCACAGCCATGTATAGGTTTCATATGAGAAAATTAGTAAGGAAGGCCATTAGAGGTTAAATGGACGATAATTTTACTTTTTTAGTAAAACTTTTTTATTGAGTAAACTGGTTTTTGGACTGATGATACTGATTTACGATTGTGTTAAATTTTTTCGTGTTTCTAATATGTATTTAATGCATTAGTTTACTGACTGTAATTTCAGTATCTACATAGGTATTTTGTATTCTGTCCTTTGTATTTTGGAATCTCTAATCAACATTCTGCACTCTATCTATCAATTTATACTGCGCTCTATCCTAGGCATTAAAGTCAAACATTTACGTCTACTGATTACAGTAAACCAAATAAGAAAATCTGTACAAGAAAAATCATATCATAATCCTAGTTATAAAATCAAGAACAAACTTCTTCCACTCATAAAATCTTCCGAAGCAATACCTAGTAGATTTAATAATGATCCATTGTGACCCAGTTGTAGTCTATAAATATTTTATTGGTCACTTTTATGTAAGGTTCAAGCTGCAATCAATGTGCATTCGTGCAGAGTGGGTGTAATACAAGATTCAATAGCTATGTATGCACAGATAATAATAATTGTCTATTGTAGGTTATACCTCTTTACTTAACACAAGGCCAGTCATATGGCGTAGATATATTACCTACATGTTGTGTTTGAAAAACAGTGTGTCTATGTTTAAAAATAATTCCATATTCAAATTGATACGCCTTTATCGTTCTGTTTGAAAAATTAATTTAGAAAGAGAACTATTGTAGGATTTGTTTGATCGTAGCGTATTCGTGTGTTATGTTAGAAAGAAATTCTAATTTTAAACGATAGAATCTATTATCAAATTATAATATCTCCTGTGATGACATTGCGTGTTTTTTCCTTGAATTAAAAAAAGGAAAAGACGAAATTTATCCTTACTATTCTGAAAATTTGTAAAATAAATCGAGTTCCGCGTGTTACATGAAGGTCCGCATATTGAGTATGTAAAGTATCTTACCCAACAAACCGCCCTGACAATCACGGGAGGTCTCTGGATGAATTGCTGGGGATCGAAGGCGCCCCCGGCCTTGCCGCCGCCGTACGCCCCGGTCGCGTCCATATTATCACTTTACAATGAAAATTTTGCTACTTGAAGCACCAATGTTAACTAACCGTCCATAAACGGCTCAATAAGTATCCAACCTCTGTAACTACGAATAGCCAATTCGTGTTATCGATCGCGCAGACGAAATTCACAGATGACAAACAGGGAAATGTGACAGTACTGCGTTCTCCGTGCTCGCGTAGCGGCATCGATCTGCTGAAGCGCGTTGTGATTGGTCGGAATTTTAGAGCTCGCGTAGGGTTGCCAATAAGCTTCGGGGAAAATCGGTTTTCCGGAAAATGACATTGGGTGGTAGAAAACGAGCTGTCATCTAAAATATCCACACGTAAATTATCATGTAGGTATTTATTGTTGACGGTAGTTGTGTGTTTTATTTACTGTGGCATTTTCTATGCACATTATATTTCTATTATTTTGAACAAATGAATGCAGATTAGTTTCCATATGAAAGAAACTACCATTGACATGACAAAGTAGGTTAGAAAGAGATGAGAGATTAACTTCCGGGGTTCCGTGAAAACGGAAATGTAGCTCGGAATGAGGTTAGCGCGGGATTTGTTTGTGATAAGACAGTTGTGTTGCTTTCTTCGTGTACGATTGGAAATTGAAAATATCCTTACCTATTAGGTACTATCTGCCGTTGGATAAAAGATAGTAAATATTTGACAATTCTTTCATACGAAAAATTGTCAAAAGACAATTTTATTCTAAAGTTAAGAATTTTATTCTAAAATGAAATAATAGTGAAATAAGGTAATTTCTTCTCCATACATGACCTGGCTCATGTATTTTTTTTACCAATGTCTACCAATTGGTAGACTTTTGAAGATTTCGAATAGAATTTTAATGTCCAATTAGGTAAGCGGGATATGAAAGTGGGCGGTTTCCTTTGAAGTTACGGGTTGTCCATGGAGGATAGATAGTGATGATCGCTGACCATCAGAATTGTTCCATTGTTTATCATAAAGAGGTTTATAGGTGCCGATAGTACCAACAGTAGTAGTACATAGTAAGTTCCTCTACATGAGTAAGTTGAAAAACATAATAATTAATCTGTGTAGTTTTAACTAAAGGTCTGTAGGCTGTATGGACGCCGATTCGGAGTCGCGGAGAACCTAACGGGTTACCGGGGCTCCGGCTCGAAGTGCAGGTGAAGGAACGGGGTGATTTTTAGTCAGTAAGAATTTGACCCTCTCTTCCATCTCACCCAGGCGGGAGAAGTCATCCGGTGATATTCCCCCTTAAAAAAATAAAAAAGTAACGGCTGTATGGACGTAAGGTGTGTAAAGTGAATAAGTAGTTCGAATGAGGCCTGCTATATTTTTGCTCACTAATTGGTAATAGTGTGAACCTTTCGTTCTTTGTTCAATAGGAAATCAGCTAGTGCCACACCATTGCACGTTCGATATTTGACAGCTGCTGTGATTAACCAAAAAACTGTTCTTACATTTGCGTCATCCAGTGAGCTGAAATACGGTAGCCCCTATTATAGTGACGTGAAGGTAGGTTATGGATGTATAAAAACACGGGTAAATAACCACACGAATTAGATATTACAAATATATTTATTGAAATAAGAAACGAACTAAATGAGGATCATAAGCTGCTCAATATAATTAAATTACATTTTAAACGATTCAGATTAAATATAAACGATAGTATGTATTGCTGCCACTCGAAACGAAATAAATTTTGACTAGTTCGTAGTAGAACGACTAAATTGTAAATTGTAAAACATCTTGCTTCATTTTCTAGCACCTTACAAAACACGAGTGGTTAATAAAACGGGTTTTATTAAATATTAGGTATACAAAATGTTTACATTTGAGAGTGAATATCAAATAAGACTGTATAGAAACACATATTCCTAGATATTTACAAAGTTAAGCTTAAATATATGGTTCTAATTATTAAGATGTTATTCTTTAATTACATTCACGGTGTTAGTATAGAAAATATTATTGGTTTCGTTTATTTTGTGAGTGTTATTTCGTAAGCAATGTTAGGTAAAATCTCATATCATGTTTAGTAAAACAATTGGGTTAAAATTGTTAATTTCGTTTTATATTCCTTTAATTTGTGATTATACATGATATAAACGAATTTAAGACCCTTCTTCGTATTACATTTAAACACGCTTTTAATAATTCAAATGATATACTTCTTTAAATGTTGAAGAGTTTAATTTTACTTAACATTGCCATCACAAAATATATACTGTTTACTTATGGCCGCGTTATATCACATCTGGACTGGACATGCGTTGAAACGTGGAGAATAAATCAAAGAATTCAATGTCATTTATATTCAGATATAAAAGTACGAAATGTTCAAAGTTTTAATTTAATTCAGTAACACCATAAACATTTTAGCGAGGGCGATTCTGCAATCCGATGCAAGCAGTGTTGCCAAGCGTTTAGATGGAGGAATAGACTATATAAAGAGGGAAGCATAACTTTGTCTTTGTTCCAATGATGGGGCAAACGCCATGTCCTTAATGCGTTACAAGATTGTTAACATACATGGTCTATGAGGGCTATAGCTAACTTTATATTTGTCTATAATACATTAATATGTAAACCCTAATTTTTCACACTATCACTAGACTAATGTTTTGTATAAATTCTAGCTACATTAATCTCTACATCATAATCAAATACTCTACAATTATTGTACATGAAAAACTAACTACTGGGATATATTTTATCTATGACATAATTTAAGTAAAACAATATTTACAAAAATAGCCATTTTTGTCTGTTTTTTGGATCCGTCTAACATCTAATTTCTTTCCTATCCCAATAAAACACTCAATTTGTTTGTTAATATTACAAGGAACTAATTATTTGTAATAACAAAAGTACACAGCTCACTAAATTGATATAACAGAGGGCATTTAGCAAACTATACGTTTAAATTACAAGTATGTATAAAATGTACTACGTCGGTACAAAATGCTACAAAACTATTATATAGTACGTATGTATATCTGTTTGTCGTGTAGGAATAGTTAGATGGCAAGTGACATTACTATCTGCTAGTGGCTTCGAGTGTAGTAGCGAGCTCAGCGCGGTATTGGAATGGTCACGTACTTACTGAAGCAACTTGTATAAATCCAAGTTTTGTCACGTTACAAAATGGAGGACTTCAACTCCTCCAGACTTCGAAAGTCGAATTAACATCACATTCTACTTTACTCAGTCCTTTGAAATAGAGGTAAATATAATTATGCAATGGAAGAAATGCTTACACAGCTCGGTTTTGTTTTGTATATTGTATAAAAACCCTAACTTTCTGAATCAATCGCTTTCAATAAACCACTCAACCCATCAACGTTCAGTTGCCTTATTCAGAACTCACAATCATAAAGACGCAATACACAATACAATAAAATTGCTTTAATATTGCTACACTTCTAAAATAATGTAGATGCCTATAATATAGCTGCTTGCGTTATCAAAAGTTGTCAGCATAAACATTAAATTAGTGGAAGTCTTTGCCGATGTCCAATTCTTTGGAAGTTTTGACAAGTTTTAAATGTATTCGAGTACAAAGTTGTATAGTCTGTGGGTTTTAGGAATCTGTGAGTCCTTGGCGCTTTTCTTCTTCCAACATGGCGTCGAGTTCGTCGGTGAGGTTGGCTAACATGTTGCCGATGTCGTTGAGCACGTCGACTGGTTCCGAGCTCTTCTCGTCCTTGTGTTCTGGCAGAGCGTGCGGCGTGGCGGGCTTGATGTCGCCGCCCCGCGGCGGCAGGCTGGCCAGCCCCATGCCGCCGCGCCCGTAGTCCACCGTGTGCGGCCGACCTCCTATCTGGCCGCGGTTTTGCTTTATGGTCCCAGCGTTTTCATTCGCAAATGGAATGCTATCCGATTCCGTGCTGGAGCTTGACTGTAAAGACAAGATATTAAACTTCAGTAAAGATTTACAGTTTAATGAGAACTTAATGGCAACATGATGATATTGTCAGTCACGATGCTTCCATACTTGCTAATTTAGAGATTGGTATGTTCAACTCACCTTAAAACTAGCATCAGAGCCGGTGCGCAGCTTGTCGTCATCATACCGTCGCGGCGGGCTGGCGGGCGCGGGCGGTGGCGGCAGTAGGCCAGTACTGTCCAGCGACACCGACAGGGAGTCCGAGCTCGGGTAGGCAGGGAGAGATAGTGGCAGACTCTTCTCAGGGTGGATCTCTACAGTCGTCTGGCCAAATCGCGAGAAGGGCGCGTATTGAGAGCTCTGCCGCTTGGGCGGTTCTGGCGGTGGCTTGCGCGCCACGTGCGGGCTGGCGCCGTACGCGACACGTTGCAGTCGCGCGGAGTATGCGCGCTCGTCGTACGCGTAGTCGGGCGACTTGTCGCGGTAGGCGGGTGTAGCTGCGATCTTGGCGACGGGCCGCGGTCGCACCAGCCCGCGCGGCCGGGGTAGAGTGCCGCCTCCCTCGTACGAGTCATTAGTGGGTGTTATGTCCCCGTCATCATACGAGCGTCGCCACTGACCCCCGCCGTAGTAGAACCCAGCCTCCGGTGAGAACGTCGTGTGTGATGCTCTTTCTGAAGGATCCTCTAGACTCTCTAGGGATTTTCCGCGCGGATGACGTATCTGTTGGCATTTTGGTTACTCATTTTATTATCCTTTAAACTCAAGTAGGTATATGAGGTAAAATAAATAAAATTCTCAAAGTTTATATTACATAGAGAGTTCGTTCAAAAACAGTTACAAACAATACGGCATCAACTTATATATTACAATTTATGTTATTGTCGCTCTTCTTACCATGCTGTCTGTTTAAGATTTTGTTTTGTCAATTTATTAATAAAATATTCATAATGTTAGCGTATTAAAACCATGCGCAATTAGTATAAAATCTTAGTATAAATTCATATAATAATATATCATTAAAATTAAAGTGAAACATCTAACTACCGTGCAGGACAGATCATTCACAGCGGTTTCTACGGTAGTGGGAAGTAAGGCTTATGTGGTACAAGTAAAACAGTCACACAGACGGAAACATTGCGTTCACTATACGATACAATCGTGTGCACATAGAAGCTGGGTGCTCGGTGCATCGAGAACAAACTGACAAGACCTGTGCCAAAGGAGGTTGTCTCATACCTGAATGGGGACCAAATCTGTGCCACAAAGGGGCGTCGGTATGGCGTCAAAGTTTAGGTCGGGGGGTTTATGGTAACTCCGTTGTCTCTCCCAAGGCTGGTAATGTAGCTCCCTCGGATATAAATCCTTTAGCCGATTATGTCCAAGGTGCGGTTTGTGTTTGGAAAAAGAAAAGAAAACAAAACATTCACATGCTGCTTCGGGCTAGTGGAATGAGGTGGATGCAGCGGATGGACGTGTGCGCTGGCGGATCACAACTCTGCGACTCACTCGGTCGTGGCTGCTTCAGCCATTATCTCTTTCTTTATACATTAGGTACGATTGTAAAAAGAAATGCCATCCGGCTAGAAGGTTACGTTTTTGAAAAGTATTTTTTGCTCGTTTTCATAATGATTATTTATTAATTAATTTCCTTTTACGGTTGTTTTATATATATTTTATTTTAGAATTGCTTCGTTTCTGTTAGAAAGGTAGTAAAATATTAAAGCCAAATAAATGTTACAGAATAAATATGGGCAAAAAATGATCGCAGAACTGTTGGGTATCCGACCAGCGAAGGCGATGGTGATGGACGTAGGTACACCTAAATTCTAAGCGAAATGATAACGACGTCTCTGAACGCATTGGGAACTTGAACAAATTTTAACACCACACACATGTAATTAGGTATTTGTTATAAATTTTATGCCAATCAGTTAATTTTATAGATTTCCCATAATGTGTCAGCTTTCGGCTCAGCAAACAAAGCTTTCCAGCCATTTATTTCTGTGCGGGATTAACACAATATGGATCTAACAACAAAAGCCTCGGTTGGCCAACGGAAATCTTTAATTAGTCAAATAAAGGTATAATAGTGAAGCCATTAAAACGCTTTTTGTTAAAATAACGCTGTTAGTAATAAAAGAAAATAATATAAATATTAGAGTTTTTATTATTAATTAATTAAAATAGCTTCGACTCGGTTAGAAAATTTGGCGGTAAAAAAATCAAGATGGCCGATGAATGAAATGAGATGTAATGTGAAAATAAAATTAAAAAAATAACAAAATTAAAACAAAATAAAAATAAAACAATTTTGATTTGAAGTGATGCTTTGAAAATAATCTTTTGATTGACAGAATAGAAAATCTAATTTGCTCTCTATTGCACGGTCTAGTTTTAAATTACGAAAGCGGATTTTTAAACATTTCCTTTTTATTTTTGTAGGAAAAGGTTTATCCGCTGTCATAAATAGGTCTGTATTTTGTAGCAGACTTTTGACCATAGAGTAAGTGTTTTAAATCTTTTTTTTGGAATCTGTAAAGAGTTGGTGTCAAAAAAGTCTGCTACAAAACGAGTCCTTATTCTATCAAGAGTCTAAATTCTAAAACATCACTACAAACACAATGACAGTGTATCTATTAGTGCATGGTACTGACCTGGCCAGGTTGTATTCTCGTAAAGTCCAAGGACCCTTGGTTGCTAATGCTTCTCTTTCCTGCTCTAATATCTTTCACTCTTTTGATGGCAAGAAGAATTTTCTTTTGGTGACCCAGACGGACTATGCCCATGTCTTCTAGATCCTGGAAAGGGAAATAAAAATGATTTTTGTAAAATGTCCGGTAAACTTCGGTGGTAGTGATTATTTTCAGCCAAGTGGCCAATTACCACTCCTGGTCCATCGGGTGTCGTTGACTATAGGACTACATGTTTAACAGATCGGTATCTGTATAGGCTGCAGTGTCTTCTAACGAATGTAATCTTTTTAAATTGAAGTCTCTAACTTACTTGCGGAGGAGATTTTAGCAAATCCCTCTTTTGTAGAAGATAGTCTATAGTCCAGCAGTGGCCTCTCATTGGTTGATGACTTACTGTTTTAACTTACAAATCTCCAAGAAAGAACACGACTTATAATATGCCGTTTTAAATTACACATAACATAACATCACGCCTTTTTATCCCCGAAGGGGTAGGCAGAGGTGCACATTTCGGCACTTTATGCCACTGTACAATGTAACACCCACTTTTCACTATTTATGTTATGAGTCCCATGTAATAGGGGGTGAGCCTATTGCCATATACCGGGCACATTTTTCCAGACTCCGTGCTACTACTGAGATTTTTAAAAACCCAGTAATACTTTGCCCGACCCGGGAATCGAACCCGAGACCCCTTGCCCGGCAGTCGCACTTGCGACCACTCGGCCAATGAGGCAGTCAAATTTCAAAACATTTTTAATAAAAGGTATACTTTAAGAAGTATATCTTTTAAACTTTAGTAAGCTAAAGTTTCGTTCCTTACCTCCCAAGCTAGTTGTGTGACGTCATGCACGGTGCGGTAACCCTGCGCTACTAATGCGGGCCCGTATTCCTCCAGTCGAAGTAGTCGCAGCCATTCTTCTAGGGAACCCTGGAATCAGAGGGAAAATGATTTAGTTACTGGTTAATTGTAGTCTTGAACAAGTTAATGTATTGTTTTCTGAATTTCAAACAATTGAGTACTTTTCTTAATCAAAAATAAATTATTTCAACTGTTCAACGCAATAAAATATTAAAAAATAATAACACTTTTATCAATTGATTTTATGACTAACTTAATTTTAGTATTTTTCCAGCAAATTTTTAAGAAATAAGTATGCTGTTTGACTCTAAAAAAACGTGACGTCACAATGCACAATCGCGTACAAAATTCATAGAAAACTGTCGTTTTTGACAGTTCAAAAAAAGTATTCAATTTGACTCGTTATCAAATACACAATTGTGAACCTTTATTCCATAATCAAAATTGTTTGAAGTGTTTGGCGTCTTTTGAAATCAAACCTTTATCATTTGCTTCATTTACCTAAGGAAATTAAAAATATTCGTCGCTCGTTTTAATAATTCTGTTTACTTTACCTTTATCAAAATTCACCAGTATCATCTATCAAAGCTTCTAAAGATTATACGTACCGGTATATAGTCAGGGAGGTTATCCGGCACATTTAGATTGGCGAGCTCAGCCTTTAACCGCTTGCGATGATTTGGCTTTTTAATCCCGACGGCTGTTAGGTCTTCGGGCGTCATTCTCGTTACTGTTGGCAGGTCGTAACCAGCTTCTATGAAGAGACGAGCGTACTCCTCCATCTGGAGGTCTGCTAGGCACGCGTGGATTATGTCTGTGTCCTGGAATAATTAAGGTGTAACTTTAGAGGAGTGTTTAAGAGATTTAAGTGTGAATGAACACTGAATTTTGTGTCGTATTTTACTAATATGTTCTTTCGAAGGAAAATGGATGAGGATATTAGTATTGTGCCAACTCCATATAGCTTGGTTATCAGAGCATGAAGAAGAATTACTACTCCGTTTATTTATTCTTTTTTAAAGTAGGGGCTAATAACTTAGGATTGATTCGTTTTAATGTTGTGAGCAATGCAATAGGGTAGTTTCCAGGGTAAGAAAATTAAAAATCTATTTAGTCCGTCAGTTACATATTGAAAAAATATTAGACACGTATTTATTATTTTCTCGTATTAAGTTGCAATACTTAGATAGAATGGCGCTAAGTTTAGGAGTGGCAGGTTGTTAGCAACGTGCTACAAAATGTAGAACGTTGTGACGTCACACGACATTTCAAATTAATATATCGTCGAAAGCATTTCATTTTGTGACAAAAGAAAAAATACGTGTCTAAAGTTTTAAATTAATCTACCAGACGGACATTAAAATAAAATTGAAACTAACCCTATTAAAGTAAGTAAAGTAAAGATTTAGTTTAGACTGTTGAAGTGACCATTTGACCTAAAAAATTATTTGCTTTCCTTAAAATTGAAATCAAATTGAACTGAATAATAGTTGTATATTTGACCACTATGATAGAGTATCTGTGAGATCAAAAATATCAATTTTATATTAATTATAGGAAAACAATTTTAAAGGTCATTAGCATTCAGAAATCCCTACGTACCGGTAACCCTTGAGCGATCATAGCTCGCACCCTGTCAGCGAGGTCGCCACAATGGCAGGCCGCGTGGTGATGATGCGGCATGCGACCTGACGCGCGCCCGCTGTCCAGTGATGCTGACGAGTGACGAGACCCTGAACCCGCTGAACCTGATGATGAACCTGGACTGTCGCGGCCTGGACTCTGGAATGTTAAGGAGATTGATGTAGCTATTGAATGATATAGAAGAAAAAGCAATGTATTTGTAAAGACTCCATATTTGGTGAAAGTTATAAGGTGGCTGAATTTCTATTCAAGAAAGATCTTTTCTTTAGTGGTACTGATCTGAAGTTACTTCAAAGACTTAGACTACCAAAAATGTAAGATTATGAAATGTTAACTAAGTTAACTTTATTAATTTCTATTTCATGAATATTTTTTGTATTATTGAAGTGATTAATAATTTTTAAACATTTAATAATGTACACTTAGTTTATGATTTTGTTTTGCCCTTACCTGTGTCATATCAATCCCCTGGTCATCACTGAGTGCTAGCTGGTGATGGTAGTACACTGCAGCTTTATGTGTGAGTGGCTGAGCTGGCGGCGGGAACGTGAAGGTGCCGCCACCTGCCGGACTCTTGCCGAGACTGCCACTCGCGCCTGACACGCCGGAGACACCAGACACCGTGCTGCCATAGTCTGAGTGGTCATCTGGAATATATTGATGAGTATGATTAGAATGGAATGAACAATACTTTGAGTAGAAGCGACTGGATCCCGATAAGATCATGGTCTTCGTAAAAAATCGTCAACCGTGCGAACTTGAATAATAATAGATTTCAGTATTAGACGGGTAAATAACAGTTTTTTGATGCATGAAGAATTAAATATGATATTAAGGGAAACCTTCGCCCGGATTATCTTCCAGCTGATAGTCTTAGTATTGATAAGTATGCATACTTATAGTACAGGTGTCTAACGCTTACCTCTGGTATGTGACGGCGTATCTGGCGGTTGAGGGTACGGCTGTTCCTCGCAGGAGGCGTACCCTTGTGACCCGAAGCTGGAGCCCGAGTGTCGGTGCTGTGGGGTACTGAAGGCGTCTCCGGGGACTGCTGGCGGGGGCACGCGCTTCGCGGTCGCCGTCTTACCGGCTCCGCTCCCGCCGCGAGACATCCCGCCCACTGGAATGATGAAGAACAGGTTTAGTTAGACAAACGACGAGTTAAAGTAAAAGTGATATGGAAACTAAGGGGTTTTTCATAATTATACCCTGGCATATGGAAACCTTATAGTGCGCTGAAGAACGGACTTAGCAGCGTGTTATAAAAGAGATTCGCAGTTAACAGTAGTCGAAAACCGGTTGATGGTGCAGCAATGGTGCTTTCCTTACGAGACGTTTATCTGAAAAATCTACTAGGTGCCTATTAGAATCTTTAAATTATGTTAAGTTTTGCTTTACGTATTTGAAGTTGAAAGACCTATTAAATGTGTAAAATGTGCCTTACAGACATTATCAAGTGATTTTCAGTAGGTATCATATACTAATTATATAACATGGTGTTAAACTGTCGCTCAGATCTAAGTAATATTTAACTGAAATACATACACGTGGAGTGGCGTCATTACTGTTAAAAAGCGGTCTATTAGTCGTAGCCACAAAAGATGGGTAACTGCCAGTAGTTGGAACATTGTAAGCTGATTATTTAGCTCCAACCTTCGTGTCCTCGAAACTTTGTACAATATTTACACGGAGCGAAACCTCATCACTCAAATAAAGGGTTCGCCTTTAGACCCTTAAAACGTAATATAATGAATACGCAAAAGGAACCCAAAGGGATGTAAATGAAATAAATGAAACCCTTCAAAGAGTTCAAACACTGTTATCAGGCTTGAACACGACGTAACCGCAATCTCGTAATGAGGAGCTCCCCTCCCCTCCCCCCGTTGTAAGCTGATAAGCCGTGGAGGGGATAACTTCGGTAATAAGGTAAAAACGTCATCAATCATGTTTGGCCCGTCGCAGAGATCGGACTCCCGGACGGCGGGGATCGGATCGACCACCTAATTGCTTGTGTCGAATCGATAACGTTAACTAATGGGCGGGAAAAATCGACATCGAATTAATTGCGATGTAAACCCCCGATAGGAAACCTTGGCGAATTTATGCGAGAACGAACTTTTTAATAACAATTTCTCGCCTGAATAATAAGGTTGGTGTTGTTGAAAAGCTTTTTTGTTTTGTAAACAGCTATCGCTGTTAATTGGCAGAGAAAACTTTCATTAGATACTTTCAACGAGATTGTTTTTCGAACAAAACAAAATTAAAGCGACGGGTGAATTACCTGGAAGGCCAGCTGGAGCATGTACGGTTGTTTTAAAGCGTAAACATTATTTTGTATTCTTTAGAATTCTTGGGCACTAAAAGTTATGGCTTCAATTACACGCACGCAATATCGAAATATAAAAGGTTCAATCAAGAAATAAATAAAATACCGTCGGGTATGTGAATCGAGGGGCGTGCGAAATTGTAGAAGATTGAAATAAATGCCTATGCAAATGCATGTCCCGTTAAAAAACAACAGCAGTAACTCTCGTAGTACAGAATTTAAAGTTTGCAATCAATGTGAAAATATTCACTATATTTTATTTCATCTGCATATTTGAGTGGCCAATTACTTTTAATTAAAATAAGTAATGCATAGTTATATCTTCAGCATATATCATAGCATTCATTTATTTATTTAATAGAGAGTACAATTTCGGATGCACGAGGAGAAAAGTTAAATATACCTATAGTGAGAATAAACGGATAATACGGCAAAACATTTTATGGACAGCAAACAAACTTTCAAGCAATGAACGATTCATAGAATATTAAAACATGTCAATTATAGAGGAATAGTAAGATATTAAGGTGTTCATTAAATGAAACCTTTCATTATATTTAATAAAAGTGACAGCAAACTTTCTTATCGTTACCACAGGAGTTAATAATACAACTTCATAAAATTTGATTATTGCGTCTACAGCATTATTAGTTTTATAATTGACATACAAACAGATATATTTAATAAACGTCGCAGTAAATTACGGTTATCACGACCAACTGTGCCGAGCTGCCGAGCCAATGGTTCCTCAGGTTGGGAGTTACAATAATTACCAATAAGCAAAACGGTAGCACTTCTGGCTTGTAATAAATAAGTGCGTAGCTGCTAATTCTCGACGATTAAGCCTGTGATTAAGCCACTATTACAAACCAGTACAAACTTATTTTTCCCATTGGTTTATTGAGCTGCATTTCAATGTACGCCTTATGAGCTTAACTTAAGTGTTAAAATAAAAACAGAGGCAAAGAGACAGCTGCATTACATTACTGACGCCATCTAGTAGCGTTGCATAGAGTTAATTAGACGTATCTGCAAGACCAAGTTGCTAATGTTGGTATCTATTGACATACGCAAGCGAGCCGACATTATTAACAATTATGCGGCGCCGACATCAATGTCTTGTTTATTTTTAGAAGCCCATATTACTTATATGGCTGCATGCTTACCAATGAAGCATAATTTTAAAGGCCCGATGAGTTTGATAACGTGGATAGTCGTAAACACGATAACGTAAGCATGCAATAACAAACAGAATAAAGCAAGAGAATTACCATTGCTAGATTATTTCTCACGGGAAATTGAAACGAATTCACGTTAGCTATAAAATTCAAGTTTAGATGGTATCTGCTACGAGTTATTGTATTAATAACTACTTATTAAGAGTGGATAAATACTTTCAGGGCGTACGTACGCTTAGGTTTTGAAATATCGCTCAAGCGCTAGTAAACACGTCGTTATAAAGTGAAATATGGTTTCCTCCTTTTAGTCTATGATTAAAAAGTTATCTTATAAGAATACTAATAGGGGCGTTGAGTAACGAGCATAAGTATTGATTTCATTTCGCTCCTTACTGAACAAATCAATTAGGCAAAATTATAATAATGGAAAGTATTGAATAAGACAACTCTTTGATTCTTGTATATTATTAACATAAAATCACGCCTTTTTGTCCCCGAAGGGGTAAGCAGAGGTGCACATTACGGCATTTAATGCGACTGTACAATGTAGCACCCACTTTTCACTATTTATGTTGAGTCCCATGTAATAGGGGGTGAGCCTATTGCCATATACCGGGCACAATTCCAGGCTCCGTGCTGCTACTGAGATTTTTATAAAAACTCAGTAACATTTTGCTCGACCCGGGAATCGAACCTGAGACCCCTTGACTGGCAGTCGCACTTGCAACCACACGGCCAACGAGGCAGTCTTGTACGTATATTATTATGTTTCATAAATAATTAAATATTTTTTTAAACCACAAAGTAAGATGAAGACAGATTAAAGATTAGCAGAAAAAAAACAAACAACATTATTTACATAGATAGAATCGTTTTTATAACGGATTCTACACTTGTCAAACTGGTTTAAACTTTACGCTAATATTAAAAGAGTCTTAAATCATCTAAATTATTTATAGCTACTGCTACTATAGTCGCGAACTCTAGTTATCATGGGTATTAATTATAAACTCGTAATAAACATTTGTGACGTAATAACTGTCATAGTTCTCGTAATGTTTGGATATTAATTCAGTACTTAACAAGGAAACAATTTGCAAACATAATAATGTAAGATCTAGGAATTATTTAACAACAATTTAACTGTTAGACAAAAAATATTAATACGTTAAAACTACGTACCTATTATAGTTTGAAATTAACTTGGTTGTGTAGGTACTATAGTGCGTCCAATACAAAAATGACCGACATTTTGTTTAAATCATTGCGTTAATAAATTCATATAATATTTTAAAACTTCAATGGTTGCATTTGGACTTATCACTGAAAATGGAAAACTTACCGATTTTCTCTTGCACCAATTTTAATATTTATGCAAAATTCTCATCTTTATGCCTCGTTGGCCGAGTGGTCGCAAGTGCGACTGCCGGACAAAGGGTCTCGGGTTCGATTCCCGGGTCGGGCAAAGTATTACTGGGTTTTTAAAAAAAATCTCAGTAGTAGCACGGAGTCTGGAATTGTGCCCGGTATATGGCAATAGGCTCACCCCCTATTACATGGGACTCATAATATAAATAGTGAAAAGTGGGTGTTACATTGTACAGTGGCATAATGTACACCTCTGCCTACCCCTTCGGGGATAAAAGGCGTGATGTTATGATGTTATGTCTCATCTTTATGTATTTAAATTATATTTTAACAATAGCTTCTACTTTCCAATTTAGTGAAAACAACAATTCCCAATCCAATCTAAATACAAAATGATACACAAACATGGCCGCCAAGCACCATAGCCAACAAAAAGCATCGTAAGCCCGCCCTTGTTCGTGTCAAAGGAATTTACGCGTACAGCCTTGTGCTTGGTGCTTGGTTATCAACCGTTTGACTAATCGACTGGCGAACAATGGGCCAGCGTGTAAAGATATGGATACATGTTTCGACTTTCACCGTGCTAACGACAAACTCTGAAATGGTTTTACAAAGTTACTACTTAAGTGAAAATTAGTTCTAGTATTATTGAAGGTGACTAATATTGCTGTAAAGCTGCTAAATCTAATACTAATACTTACTAGAAGCCAAATATTTATTTTGTATACATTTGTTTGGTTTTGTATTCGAAATTAAACCTCATAGGTATGAAGACGGAAACACAATCATAATAAAGTTTTATTTAATACCAGTGTGCATCAACGTTAAAAAAATAAAATCAATAGCGGTAATCATTGTGAAGCAGAAAAAACAAGGAAAGAGTACTGTGTGTTTAATGTTATGTGATCAGTTTGTTATCAATCAGGAATCAATTAAGCGCTGTATAGCGCTGTTCATATCAATTCCAGGAGCGGAGTATCGATGACAAAGTGTGTTTACTTAATTGGAGTAAAATGCTTCGGTTAATGTTAACTACCGATTCGATTCGATTGGTCTTTCATTTAGGCACTAACGCAATGAATTACATTTTTGAAAACAAAAAAATAAAATAATAAAAATATCGTCTTATTCTATTTTCAAATAGTGAAACGTAGATAAAATGTTACAGACAAAAAAAGACCCTGACATCTGTTCAGTCAGCTAGCATTTTAATATTCAAATCACTGTCAAAACCACAAATATTTATAAAATAAAAATA